TCTTTACTCCAAGTCTTCAAATTATCATTAAAATCATTTTCTATATAGCGGAGAGTGTTCTCGAGTCTTTCAATCCTACACTCAAATTGCTTTTCAATTCTTTCACACTCTTCTTCATGATTTTTCTTTAAAACATTGATAAACACTTTCTCCTTATAACCTTCAATGCTCTTTTCCAGTTGAACTATTTTCTCTCTGAAGTTCTCATATACAACTGCCATTTTTTTAAAAAATTGATTAGTTAAGGATCTATGCAGTGAAATCAGATAAAAGAAACAAGAACAGTTAAGCTAAAAAATAATAGAAAAACACTAAAAATTGATGAGAATTTAGTAAAACTACGTGAAACTGTCAAAAATCAGTAAAAACAGTCAAAACCGTTGAAAACAGTTAAAAACTGTTAAAAACAGTCAAAGACAGTTAAAACTGATAAGAAACAATTTACGCGATCCAAAACAGTTCAGATATTCTCAAACAGTTAAAACACAAAAAGATAACAAATACACGAAATGATCCAAAATAATACAATCTAAACAAAACTAAAAACTAAGAAACCCAAATTACAAACTAATTCAAAACCGAATGGYTGTTAAGATCTATAGGGTATGATCCTGCTTTAGACTATGAAATGTAGTTAGCTGAAGATGCTGCTTCACATGAGAAAACTTGGAGTCGTTGAGATGCTGCTACTAAACTTTTAGAGCATTCGCAGCAGCAATCAGAAACAGCAGCTTCAAATCTGTTTAAAAACAGTTTACAAAACCTGCAAGGGCTGAATGCTTTCCAGATAATGCTTTCACAGATGTTGGTAGCTATGAACAATGATCCTAGCAAAACATAGCTGAACAATTATTAGAATAGCAAAACACCAAGTTGACCAACACTGCTAGACAGAACATAGGCAACAGCCTCACCAACAGCAATCAAAATGCCAAGCAACTTATATCTCTATCCAAACAAAAATTGTCAGCTTTACTTTAATCAAAATAGTTAGGACAAAACCTGTTTTAGCAAGAATCAGCAGACACTTTATCCTCCTTTCCAAGATTGTGTAATAAACAGTCCTTTCACACACGCTTAATCAAAACAGTCTAGATTCTATTTGCAGCACCCGGGCTGCTGTTCCAGTGCACAAATGACAGCAACACCATTCACAGCAAGATAAAATCTGTTTACTGCATTATCTTCTAAAATCTACAAGCACATGACAGATTGCTACAATGCACTTTCGAACAAGAAACAAAGTTATACAATGCATCATAACAGTGGAAATATTGATCACCAACAATGGTAACAGCAGCAAGGACAGATTGCTACAAATCAAGAGTTAACTAATCAATAGTGACAGCAGCAAAATAACAATCTGAGATACTTGCAAAATGAACAGGCTTGATGACCAAATAAAACAAACTCAGCTTAAACCTGTTAGATCTTTACAGCCCGAACAACTCACTGTCTGTCACCTGATTCCTTGATATAATATACAATTGATAGAGTAAACCAAGTGAATATGGATGCAGAACAGCAAAAAGTAACTGTTTCAGAAAATGTAGACTCTGCAACTTTGATTAAGAAACTGGTTAGAGCTGGTATACAAGTTGAGCTTTGATCAAACAAGGCAAACCAAAATCACAACCAAAACCAACTCAAACTCAAAGAGATGAGATTTCAGACCTAAAAGCCATTACTGCCTTTCGACCTACTACGCCAGGTAACAGTCCAGGAACAAAACCTAACCTGCAATTTCTATCAAACCTGTTTACAAAACCAAAAAATTTAAACTGATATAAAACCCAAATCAGATGAACTTCAAATCAGATAAATCAATCAAGATGATATGCTCTCAAAGTGAAATTGAACAAGATTGATAGCAAATTACATCAAATTTGACTGAATAAAACGAATAAACAGCAAGAGCTTCGAATACACTAACCTGAGCGATTTAGTAAACCGGATGAACTGTATTGAGCTTGAATCTGGCTAAGGAATTAATCGATGTAGATGAAATCCGATGAAACCTTGATCGATTTATCAAGCGATTTATCATTCCTTATTGATCGATTTAGAATCCGTTCAAGAGTTCTGCGATTTAGCTCCTTAATCCGCTGAAGAGATGTGCGGTTTAGCTTAAACCGCTCAAGAACCCCTGTCAAGTAGTGTGCAATTTAACCTTGCTCGAATCCGATTGCACGATTTATCTTAAACCGGTCACTTGTCCGGTCAAGTGTTGTGCGGTTTACTTCTTTATCCGCTCAAACTGTCAATGAAGCCTGCGATTTTGATTTCCATTCAAGTCTCCCATTCAAGCTGTGTGCGGGAAGATGAATGAAGTAACCGGACTCTTATCCGGTCAAGATATAATGGGCCAGACTGATTTTAAGCTCAAAGAAAACCTAAATGTTTAATCCGGTTGAACTTTGGACGGTTTAACAAAAATTCAAAAGAAGATTAAAACCTATCAAAAACAGAAAAACTTTTAAAAAAATGGATCAAAAACACTGGTTTAAAGAAAAAAAATCAAGAACACAAAAAAATCTAAAAATACAAAATCCGATTAAATCTTGATTAAAAATGATCAGATCACAAAAGTTTGTGAATAACAAAGATTCACAATTCAAATTCGAGCATTTTGATCCTATTTATAACACGAAAACACAAGATTTTATGAAAAATCAGATCAAAATCTAAAAAAAACGAAGAACACGAAGAACAGAAAAAAATTCCAGAAATTTTTTTCACTTATCTCTGATTTCTTCATCTGATTTCTTGCATAGTCCAGCTCTGATACCAATTGTTTGTCCATAAAATCACTGATCAATCTTCAATAAGCTTCATAATATGGCAGATTTATGTAAACCTTCAAGAACACTAAAATGAGAATTGAGAGAGAAAGTCAAACATCACAATTCAGTCAAACCTCTCAATACGTATATGATTTACAAAATGAGCTCTCCTCTTTTCTAATTACAAAGACTAACCATATTTATATGGTCAAACCTACTAAACAAGTCAAAGTCAAACCTGTCTAATAAAAGTCAAACACGATGACTTTTACAATTATAGACTATATTTAAGTTTCAAGACGAATACAATTAATACTGATTTTTCAGTCCTAACAGAATTATATAATAATATTCCCACATATTATATTTATCATATAACCGCCTATAAAAATTTCCACATATGCATGCATAATATCAAATTACCACACACATGTGCACATAATTCATGCATTTATATTTAAGATAACATGCATGCTATCACGTAATTCTCATAATAAACACATAGAGTTACCTTGACTAGGTTTGCAGAAAACCCGATTATAACATCACACTTCACATTCAATATGGGGCAGGTAAAATTATGTATTGCGTGTTATTTCTGAAATATGATAACTATAAAATGGTGTTATCATGAGTCACACTGTAATTCGTTCACTGATAATGACTAAAACAAGTTTAAAGTTTTTCTAGGACTAACAATTGAACAAACAAAAACCCAATATATTCTTTATTGTTGTTCTTGTTTGGACTGAAGATTATAAATGCATCTGGTATTGGACTAACTTGGAGCCATGTGTAGGAAATAGATCTCCGAATTGGTGCTTCCTTCACGAGGTTTCAGACCATGCTACTGAAAGATACATTTGTTTTTAATTTTTCTACAGATGGCAGAAACCTTGTTCTAAGATATGGTCCTTGTCAGGTATAAGGATATTTCATAAAAGAAGTTCATAGAAGCATGGTGCACATTTCATTGTTAGGAGCTAAATTGATGTGGATTTTACATACTCCGTTAGATGGTCAGTGACTGAAAATTCATGTGATCAGAGAATGGAGAAATATATAGATTTTTCCATATATGTGCAAGGTTACTCGATTGCAAATTCATGTTTCACGATCCTCATTCTGATCGTTTGCCTATTGATCTATTACAGACGCGTTATTCGTAAAGAAATTTCCAAGTACTGATTCTACTAACTGAAAATAAGTATGTTTTTCCAATCTTTTTTTACCCTTTAGCTAATACAACTCTTTTCCCTTATTCATGAAAATGAAAGGTACGCATCCAATCTTGTAGAAGATGAAGTGGCTGCTAACCAAGAAGAGACAGGATGGAAGAACATTCATGGAGATGTATTTAGATTTCCAAAACATAAATCCTTATTTGCTGCAGCTCTTGGTTCTGGCACACAGCTATTTGTACTATTAGTATTTTCCCAAAAAATGTTAAATTCAATTAAGCATCTTTTAGAAAGAAAAGAAAATTCCTAACCATAAAACTACCTAGAAATTTGAAACATGGAAAATTATGAACTCCATTTTCATCCTCACTCTATCAACTATGCTACTGGTCTTCCAAAACAACTCAGTAGTGAGAATGTTGAAGTGCACTTATATATGGAGGGAAAAAGAAGCAGGCCACAAACTTGAGATAATGCAAAAGGTGCTCCCAAAATTAGGTCCAAAGACCAAAATTAGGTGGTAACTTCGATGTTAGCCAGTGGATTTGCCCAATTGGAAAATTTTCGTTAATACAAAAACACAAAACATCAAAGCATCCTTAATTAGGGACTTAAGTACAGACTACAATGGGGAATCGAAAATTTACCAATAACGTGCTCCTATCGCTGTAAAATTGGTGAACGAAATCAGGCTGCGTCTGAAGCACCTGATAATAATGCCCAACGAAGTACGTCCCAACCTAAAAACACCAAAACCCTAATAAACAACTGCCTTTACATATACATACCATGGAAACACAAATCAAAAATGCCATTAACGATACACAGAGGTGGCCACAGGAAACCCGTCAATCCAAAACAACAACACAACAAAGAAATTGGCTTAAGAAAAAAGAGAAATAGATTACCTCCTCTAAATTCTGGATTGACGCCAATGGATTGAAAATATGTCAAATATATATGCATCTCTAAATTCTGTTGGAGTCGATATTATCTCAATTGTAATCTGGAACCGATGAAATCGATAGGGGAGAGTGAGTCGATATCATCATCAAAATCTTGAAATCGATAGGGAGAGTTTGTTGGAGTCGATTTCATCTCAATCATAATCTGTTGGAGCCGATGAAAGCGTTAAGAAGTTGGGTTTAGGGATGGCTTTAATAAGTTGTACCATTAGCAATAAAGGTTGTTTTTAAGTAATTTGGCATTAATGGGTAGTACTATATGCTTAAAAGGTTGTCTTTAAGAGTTTTAGTCAAATGTTTTATAATATAGTATATATATATATATGCAGCTGAATTATGGATGAAATAAATATATAATATAGTTTTTAGAGAAGGAATTGATTTTTTAACAGTGTAACTAAAGATAATTTTTAGAGAAGATTTTGAGTTTGTGTATCTAAATATCATATTTAGAGAAGATTTTGTAAGTGTAACTAACGAGAATTATTAGAGAAGATTTTTTAAAATTGTCACTAAAGCCAATATCTTTAGAGAAGCTTTTCCATTACCTTCTCTAAAAGTATCTTTTAGTAACTTTTATAAACCGTCACAAATACTTTAAAAGCGTCATTAATATATATACTTTTAGAGAAGCTTTGAATAAAAAGTTGACTAACCTTTAGAGAAGTTTTGGATGTGTATCTAAAGCCTCAAATAACGTCTCAAAAGGCTAACAAAAATGCACCTTACGAAAACCCTCCCTAAAACCTTTACCTACCGTTATACAGAGAAGCTATTTGACAAAATTGAAAAGCTTATCTGAAGGCTTTAGAGAAGCTTTTAAGTACAAAACAATACCTTCTCTGAAGGTTATTTTTCTTGTAGTGAACTTATTAAAGCTCCATATTTAAATTTGTGTAACTAACTGCAGATAAACATAATCAAATACAGGATAAACATCTCATTTTAAATATAATTAGGATAATCATTGAGTTCTAACAAAATACTTAACTTTTATTTTTATAAAATTTATATTATTAAACCAAAAATAAATTATATCATTATTAAACTTAAATTAAATTATAATAAAAAAATAAATTAAAAAATTACATAAAAAATGAGAACTTGTAAATAGTTGATTTCATATTAACATTGAAATATTTTTTTTTTCAAATTTTTATGATATCTTTAAATTTATATTTTATTCAAAAATAAAATCATTTTTGTTTTCTTAAAAACACATAAAATCGTATTATAACATCGACAGAGACAAATAATAAAATA